GATGTGGGGTTGGTGAAGAACTTCTCCCATTCTATGGGCTGCTGTTTTGTTTTGTTAACAGTGTCCTTTGCCTTACAGAAGCTTCTCAGTTTCAGGAGGTCTGTGCTACTGGTGTTATGTTCAGGAAGTGGTCTTCTATGCCAGTGCATTCAAGGAAACTTGCCACTTTCTCTTCTATGAGGTTTGGTGTGGCTGGATTTATGTTGAGGTCTTCAATCCATTTGGACTTAAGTTTTGTGCATGGTGATAAATATGGATCTATCTGCAGTCTTTTACATGCCAGCAACCAGTTATGCCAGCACCATTTTTTTGGATATGCTTTCTTTTTTCCATTGTATAATTTTAGCTTTTTTGTCAAAAATCAGATGTTCACAGGTATGTGGATAAATAACAGGGTATTCAATTTGATTCCATTGATCTACCTGTTTGCTTTTGTGCCAGTACCAAGCTGTTTTCAGGACTATAGCTCTATAGTAGAGCTTGAAGTCAGGGATGGTAATGCCTCCATAAGTTCCTTTATTGTACAGTATCATTTTTGCTATCCTGGGTTTTTTGTTTTTCCACATAAAGTTGAGTACTGTTCTTTTAATGTCTGGGAAAAATTGTGCCAGTATTTTGATGGGGATTGTGTTAAATCTGTAGATTGCTTTTGGTAAGATTGCCATTTTTACTATATTGATCCTACCTATCCAGGAGCATGGGAGATCTTTCCATTTTCTGATATCTTCTTTAATTTCTTTCTTTAAAGACCTAAAGTTCTTGTCATATAGTATGACTCAGCAGTAAAAAACAATGACATTTAAAAATCCATAGGAAATCCATAGGCAAATGGATGGAATTAGAAGAAATCACACTGAGTAAGGTAACCCAAACACAGAAAGATAAAAATGGTATGTACTCACTCATAAATGGATATTAGACATAGAGCAAAGGATAACCAGCCTAAAATCCACAACCCCAGAGAAGATAAGAAACAAGTGGACCCTAAGAGAGACATACATGGACTGCCCCTCCAGAAGTGGAAAGGGACAAGAACTCCTGAGTAAATTGCGAACACAGGGTGAGGTGGGAGGGAGGTAGAAGAAAGAGAAGGGGAGAAGGGGATGGGGGAGAAGAACATGAGGAATCAGGAAGGAAGACTTGGGGGAAGAACAGAGTAGAAGAGCAAGGAAAGACATACCTTGATAGAGGGAGCCATTATTGGCTTAATGAGAAACATGGCACAAGGGAAATTCTCAGCAATTCACAAGGATGACCCAAACTAAGAATCTAAGCAATGATGGAGAGGCTACCTTAAATGCCCTTCCCCTATAATGAGATTGATGACTACCTTAAATGCCACCATAGAGGCCTTCATCCAGTAGCTGATGGAAGCAGAAGCAGAGAATCACAGTTAAGCACTGAGGCGAATTCCTGGAATCCAGTTGTAGACAGGGGGGAGTGATGAGCAAAGGGGTTAAGACCATGCTGGTGAAAACCATAGAAACAGCTGACCTGAGCTAGTGGGAGCTCACAGACTCCAGACCAACTGCTGAGGAAACTGTATAATACCAAACTAGACCCTGAATGTGGGTGTGAGTTGGGGGCCTCTGGCAGTAGAACCAATATTTATCCCTAGTACATGAACTGGCTTTTTGGAGCCCATTCTCTCTCTCAGTCTAGATAGATGGGAGAGGGCCTCAGTCCTGCCCCAAATGATGTGATGGAACTCATCTCTGAGGAGTGGATGGGGCGTGGGATGGGGAGATGGTGGGCGTAATAGGAGGGGGAACTGGGGTTGGCTTGTAAAATAATATTGTTTTTTAATTTCTCTAATAAACAAATAAACAAACAAATAAATATGATAAATAAATAATAAATAATAATAATAAATAAATAAATAAATAAATAAATAAATAAATATGATCATTCTTCAATCTTTTGTTTCTGTCTTTTTACTGTGATTTCACTTGTGTTTAATGTATTGGGAACAACATCCCCAAGGTAACTTGATTAGAATGTACTTTTGTTATATAGATTATATGACATAGGCTTTCTGCAGTGTTAAATGGTGGACATGGAGACATACAATTTGTCTTCAAAGGCATAAACATGCTCGTGGTCCCGCATTCTATACATTGCTTAGAGAATCAGACATTGTCATTATCTATGTCTGAGGGTGTGCTTTGTTTTGTTTGGTTATTGGGTTACTGGGAGTCCACCTCAGGGCCTTATTATGTTAGGGAGCAGCTTCACCACTGATTAACACCCCCAGGCTTTTATGTTTTCATTTTGAAATGAGGTTTTGCGTGTCGCCCAGGCTTGCCTTGAACTTACACTGTTCTTATCTGACCTTCCAGCGTGGCCAGTACTCCTGGCAGGGTGAGATAATTCTGGATTATCAAGGAGTGAAGTGTGACAGAGGCCCCACTGGAAATCTGAGGGTATTGGGATGAGCTTTCTCTGGTGTATACACGAAGAATTTGGGGTCATAATCTCTAGCATGTGTAGAACCACTCATGCATTTCCAGCAGTGCTTGCACCAGTCATTTACAAGGGAACATGGTTCTCAAAGCTCTGTGGAAATGGATTTTCTCAGGCAAAACCTGTCTCCTATAGGGAAACTTTCCTAATTTCATACTGGAGATTGGGGAAATTAGCCACAGGGCTACTTTGTAAAAACTTCCCATCCGGACTCCAAAATTAAAGCTATTCCGAGGAGAATCTCAAGCATAGTCTGGGTCATATTACAAAAACCAGGTTGGATTTTAGAAAATGAAATGCCCCGTTTTTATACATTGCTAATAAAATCTAGGTTGTGACTGCTCTCTGAAAATTATAGGTAATAACATAGTGTTGTAGCTTCTAGTGCATTTAGGTGAACACTTTCTAGTTTTAGAAGGATTCAAAGAAAAAGGGACTCATTTAATTTTTTTGTTTGTTTTTTTTGAGACAGGGTTTCTCTCTGTAGCTTTGGAGCCTGTCCTGGTACTCACTCTGTAGACCAGACTGGCCTCGAACTCACAGAGATCTGCTTGCCTCTGCCTCCCGAGTGCTGGTATTAAAGGCATCTGTTTCTAACACTCAGCCAGGACTCATTGAGTTTAATAAAGGGTTGTTTACACTTCATAGTATTCACTAACACCCAGCCAGGACTCATTGAGTTTAATAAAGGGTTGTTTACACTTCATAGTATTTTATTTCACTTTTATGCAGTTTTCCTTGGTGAGTGTTTGAGGGTTTATACTGCTGCTATGATACACTGTGCCCCAAAAACAAGTTGGAGAGAAAAGGGTATATTTGGTTTACACTTCCATGTCACTGTTTATCATTGAAGGGCGTCAGGACAAGAACTTAAACAGGGCAGAAACCTGGAGTCAGGAGCTGATTGGCACTGTTAATGTGTCTTCAAAGGGCTGTTCCATCTTTCTATTCAGCCAGTTATTTCAGGATTGAGAGGAACAAGGTAACATCAGTGGATTCCATGCTCATGGGTCCAGTCTCACACTTTCTGTCTGTAAAGTGATTGATTACAAGCAATACTGTGTGAAATACCACGGTGTTGGATAAAGTGTTCTGTAAGCCCATGGATGCTGATTTTAGCAGAAGCATTACATGCAGGAAAGGCAAATCCATAAACAGAATAAGTTTCAACTCCAGTAAGGACAAAGTATTGTCCTTTCCATGGACAAAGTGGTCTAATGTAGCCAACCTGCTACCAGGTCGCTGGCTGGTTACTCTGGTGAATGATGCCATATCTGGGGATTAGTGTTGGTCTCTGCTATCGGCAGATCTGGCACTCAACAGCCTTGATGAGTGGTAGTCCATATTGTTGAGCCCTTGCACAAACCCCATCTCTGCCACCACTCCCCATTTGTTCATGTGCCCATTGGGCAATGACAAGAATGGCTGAAGAAAGAGGCTGACTGCATACAGAACAGATCATCCTATCTACTTGCTTATTGAACTCCTCAGCTGAAGTCACCTTTTGATGAGTATTTACATGGGACACAAATATTTTCACATCCTTTACCCATTTGGAGCGATCCATCCATATACTTCTTCCTGAGATGTCTTTGTCACCAATTTTTTATCCATGCTCTATCTAAGTGCCTGGCCACCAGGCAATCCATTGGCTCCAGCCCATGATACAGTAAGCAATCACACATCTTGCCATTTCTCCTTCCAAACAAACTGTATAACCATGTGTACTGCCTGAAGTTCTGCCCACTGTGAAGATTTCCCTTCACCAGTGTCTTTTGGGGTTGTCCCAGAAAGGTGTTCTAATGCTGCACCACTTCTGGGTGGTGCCTGAATAATGAACAGAACCACCAGTAAACCAGGCCCTAGTCTTCTCTTCTCAGTTAATTGATTATAGGTAACATACTATGAGGCCATAGGTACATACTTGGCAGCAAACAGCACTGTGATGGGAATAGAAACCATACGCATTTGGGCAACTTCTTCACGTAATTTGCTCATGTGACAACCAAGAATAGCTATTACAGTAAATATTGTTATTGCACTGAAATCAAGCTGGTACCCAGGGTAAGAGGCCTGGACTTCATTACAGAAGTTGAAGGGTTGTAATTTGAACCCAAGTCTCTCCAACTGCAAAGTCTTTTCTTACTAATATTTCTCCCTCCCTCCTTCCTTCCTTAATAGAACTTCCACTCTTGATTTCATTTTTAATTTGCATATCATTTTCACTGAGCATTCTGTTCTTGTCTGAAACATTAAGTGAATAAACAATCTGCACACCTGTGCACTGGGAAAACTCAACTTACTTTTTTTAGGACACATTTATACATAGCCTTTTGTTCCTCCACAATGAAGGTTAAATGGGAGACGGAGGAGTGGTGCTTTCCAGTGACTGTGTCACCCTGTAGACAATTGGCAGCAGGAGAGCAGCAGCTGCCACGCTCTTCAGATATCTCTCTATTTAAAGTTCAAAGAGGCTCAGGATAACAACAAGGAAGAAAGACGCGTGGCCCTGCCTAAGCCACCCAACAATAGAAATAATGGCTGAAAAAGGTAAGCTGTAAAGCATGGGGATTTCACGGCAAAAACAACTTCCCGACTTCTTTACTTTGTTTCTTAGCATTTTGATCTTGAGGATGGTAGGCTCTCTACTAAAGAACCATTAGCTACATGTTTCAGTGTGGTGACAGAAAGCTATTAAATATGCAGTTTTTGGACTATGTAAGATGAATAATTTTGAAATGGTCAGTGAAACATTATAATTTCATTCCTGCTTTCTTGGAAAGGTGAATTATAAACTACTTGTTTCTCAGTATTGAACTGTACCTGAGATCCTGGGGTTTTGGGGCCAGAAGTAAGAGCAGTTGAGTTCTTCATCAGATCTGCAGGTTGGCTGTGTAAGTTTGGAGACGCCTTCCCACTTCTGAGTCTGTATTATGACTATCAAATGAGAATATGGAGATTACTCATCTCTGATATGCTTCAGATCTGAATTATTTTTCCTAATTCTTAAACTTTATTTCATATTTATATGCTTCTATAAAAGAATTGATTCCAATATTAATAAATAGACTGAATATATCTTTGTATGAGAAGCAGTTTTTAAATACATACATGACATCTTTGCTTTAAACTCTGACAACAACATTGTGAGACATGTATATATTATCACCCCCACTTTTCACTTAAGAAAACTGAGACATAATGAAGTTTAGTATGTGTCCATAGTCACTAGATTGTGATGGCACTAGGCCTCAGACCTGGGCAGTGTTGGTCCACGGTGAAGTGCCCTTAAGAACACTTCCAGTGGTAGCCACTTTGGCAAGCTTGGAACCAGACAAACAATAAAGCATTTGAAAGGCTCTTGCATTTAAAGGGAAGATTTATTCTTATTTGTGCCATTAATGTAAGTGATCTAAAAGGACATTGGGTTTCATGTATTATCATTTCCAAATGATGCATCAGATTATAATAGAACTGAAAATATTGGTGTTAAAAGATGACCAATGCAGTTATACTTGGTTAAAATACACAGATGATACTTGTGTTGTTTTGCAATGCATAGCAAATAAAGAGATAATTACTTTTAGAGTTTGATGATGTGCAAATTTTATTAAAACAGGTGTTATAAAATTTTATTAAAATACACTTGTATTAAACATTTATACACAATTGAAATGTCTGTTAATTTTCAAGTTCTTTGAAGTTGATGGAAGTGCTGTATCACTTACATAAATAATTAAAAATATTGTCATATACTTTCACTCTAATAATGCCTTAATTAAAAAAAAAATTCTTTCTCCCAAATGAGACCGAAGTAGGTTTCATAATCTTTGCTTTACCCTTAGAACAACAGAACATGGCAGCTAAGGAGGAGTTTTCTCCTTTTGTTGCATCATGCCTTGTTCAAGGTCACAATTAGGAGAAGCAAGAAAATCCCATTTTGGCAGACAAGAAAGACTTCAACATTCCATAAAAAACATTGAAACTATTAAAATTCATTTAAGCTTCAGAAAGTTGGCTATTATGAAAGTATCTTCTAATTTTAGAAGTTCCTCATCTCCTGATGACTTTATTTTAACAGCATTAACCACCCTTCACATTTGAAGTGATGGAAATTGTAATGGGACTACAATTGCTAAGAACATCCATTCTTTCTCTTAGCTAATGGCATATGATCTCATTGTGTTCTTCAATTAAGACCATGTCTTAGTCCTTAAAACAGAAACATTAATTCTATAAGATGTTTCTCTGTGCTGCTGTTCAGTTTTTTTGTGTGTGGTATATATGCCTGTGCATTCCCTGAATGAACAAGAGTGACACATACAGTATTACAGAAAACTATGTATATAAATTGCTTTTTTACAGACTAGGTACAAACAGGAGATGAAGCATTATACAAGAGTCTTTCATGTGTATTGGATTATTATTGCTCATAGTCAAGCTCAGCACTGGTGCTGGTAGAGAATGACTTTAAAGAAACAAATTCTTTTTTTCTGATGATGATTATGTAAGGTATGATTTTTTCTTTTTCCTGTGAAATTTAAGATCAAAGTTAGTTATTGAGATCAGGAACAATTCTCAAAACAATCTAATCTTGTGTATTATGAGTAATTCAGTTTAGTAGGAATTACCTCACAGTTATATTGGATTCTTGTTATGTAAACAGCTGATAGACCCATTGCTGGACAAACTCATGAGTATGTTCTTTATCCACTAAACACAGGCATGGTGGGTCAAGTTTACAAAGCTTTACACACACTATATCATTTGACTGAAGAAGCATCCAGGAGGTAGATATTTCAAGTTCCACTACCCAGCAGGATGCTTCAAGTTCAAAATTGCACAAGTTCATGGAACTGTAAAAGGGTGACCTGTGGTTTGAACCCAAGGCTTATATTTCAAATATCCAGGATTTACAATTCAGTTGCAGGGTATCTTCTGAAGAAAACAAGACAAAAATATTCATGTGTGAGCCTGATGATAGTGCACTTCTTCTTAGCTTCCCCAGAGATCTTTCCTTGTTTTGCTTTATGAAGTTTAATGCCAAAAGGGTCTATTTAATTTGTTTTCATTGCTTTTAAGCAGACTCAACATCACCACAGCTCATGGTTCCCGTTCTTCTCTTGGTTGGATGGATTGTAGGCTGTATCATAGTGGTTTACATTGTCTTTTCCTAGAAAAGTAAGCATTTTCATAATGAATGTTTCTTCATAATTGTTCTAGAATTGATCTTTTCTGTTTTAGTAATGAAATGTTTTCTCCTTCAGGCAAGAAGACTTCAGGCTGATATCATTTAGAAGAACTAAGAAAAACAAGAACATGGCAGACCATTAAAAGTGTCTCATGTTAAATAGCTGCAATGTTTCATATCTTTTGGAAACTAGAATCTGTTTGCATAAAAATATCTTAGGATCTTGCTTGAAATTACAGATAAAAAATCTAAGAAAATTCAGGTGAAGTTTTCTGTGTCAAGAAAATAGGAAATATATGTTTAATTATGGCTAAAACTCACATTAAGCAATGGGGTTGAGAATGATAATTTATTAGATTAGAAAAGGTTTTGTATTCTCCTGCCAAAATGGATAAATGGACTAAAGAACAAGCAATAAACAGGAGACGAAAGACAATTGAAAAATTCGGGTCTTATCTCTGGTTCATAATGAAAGTATAATTTAAACCACACTGAAAGACCTTCACTTACAGCTGTGCAGCAAATACAAATGTTTGGCATCTTTTGTGTTGGTAAGGCTGTGGGAGATAAGCACTTTCATATGCTGCCTTTGCAAATTCAACATGTAATATTTTTTTGTTGTTTGCTTTTTGGAGACCATCTTGGTGTTGTCCAAGCTGGACTCAAGAGATCCTCCTGCCTCAGGCTCATTGAGTAGTTGAGAATGTGGGTGTGCACTATTTCACACAGCTAGGTATAATATTCTGGGGCTATATTTGGAAGTTAGTGTCTTCCAAAATTTATTGTCTTCATAGTGTATGTCAATATCCACAAAGCAGCAAAAATACGAAATAGCGTGATGTGCAGGGGCCAGAAACAACTGAGATGTACACATGATATAAGAGCGATTTAACTTTAGAAAGGAATGGAAAAGGTCTTTACATATTTATGTGATGTAATCTCCAAAACAAAAAAATGTTAATTGAAGGAATTAGCTCCGCCAGAGAAAAGGCTCAGCTGTTTAGAGTACTGGGGGCTCTTACAGAGGATCCAGGTTCACCTCCCAGCACCCATATGGAGCCTCACAATGTCTGTAACTCTAGTTCCAGGGAATCTGACACCCTCTTCTAGCCTCCTTTGGTGCCAGGCAAGTAAGTGGTGCACAGATATATATGCAGTCAAAAATATTCATACATGTAAAATAAAAATAATGAAACATTTAAAAAGTCAGGAATATCTACTACCATTTGTGTAAGAAAAGGAGGAGTTTAACAAATATGAATGTAACTAAACATTTACCACACAAACAGTGGAAGCTAGATATTTCCACATGTACCTTGTTTTATAGTGTTTCATTTTTAAGATAATATGAATATTTTATAAATTAAAAAGAAAACCCAGTAACTTCCAAAATTGAAAACAAGCTAAAAGTAACCTAATAACACATCAGTTTGGTAATTATCTTAGCCAATGTTAAATTGTTTTGAGGAGACACCATGACCAGGTTGCTACTCCTATTGTTAGGAATAAAGTGTATGAGGGACCTTGTGGATTTCATGGTGCGATGAGGGTGACTGTGGTGGGGGACAAACATGTCAGGCAGATAGGACTTAAGTGAGACATTTTATTAGAAAGTGAAGGGAGGAGAAAAAGAGAAAAAAGTAGAGACACAGACACACAGAGACAGAGAAAGGATAGAAGAGAAGAGGAAGACAGGAAAAGTCCTGTCTGCTCCAGGGGAACAGCCAGAAAGAGAGCATAAGTGGGTGGGTCTTTCTTTTAAAGGGTTCCTTTGCACCCATGTGCAGACTGTGTAGTCATAGAACCCTGGGCTGATCAGGGTACTACCTGAGTGCGTTCTGCCTGGTGACAGGGTCAGGCTACCATAATGCCTGAATCCTTACACTTACAAAAGAAAGCATTTAATTGGGCTTGCTTGTTGTAATTTAAGAAAAGAGGCATTCAAGAGAAAGATGCCATGAGATAGGGCTCAAGCAGAGGGTTTTTCTGTTTTTTGTTTGTTTTCTGGGGGGAAAGGGATCATAAAACAGGGAAAGGGAAGCGGGGAGACAGGCCTCCGGAGACAGGAACAGGAGAGAGGAGAAAGGAAAGAGGGGAGAGAGAGGAAAGAAGGAGAGAGAAAGAGAGAGGGATAGAGAGGGGGAACAGAGGGAGAGAAAGAAAGAGAGAAGGATGGGAGGTGGACAGGGCCCTTTTAAAAGGGAACATAGTAAATGTGCATAGGTGGTGCTCTTAGTAGCTGTAGCTGAGGACATATCTTGTCAGAACCCCAAGGACAGGCCGGTAAAGATGCCTGAATACTAGCATTGATTACACCCTCATCATGGTGGGGACCATAACAGCATGCAGGAAGGCTTGGAGATGAAGAAGTAGTTGAGAGTTTAGATCTACAGGTGGCAGGGAGAGAGAGACACTGGGTTTGGCATGAGCTTTTGAAAACCTCAAAGCCTACCCCCAGTGACATACTTCCTCCAACAACGCTATAAATCCTAATTTTTTCCAAATAGTGCTATTCCCAGTTGGCCAAGAATCCAAATATTTATGAGACTATTGGAGCCATGCTTATTCAAACCACTATAGTAATATAACCTAAAAGAAAATAAATCTTTCAAGTGATTGAAAACACAGTATATTTTTTTCTATGTATCTTAAGGGCTAGAGAACTTAAAACCACACTCAGCTGAGTAAGGTGCAAACACCTTTAATTTCAGCACTTAGGAGGCAAAGGCAGGCCTCTGTGATTCTAGACCAGCCAGGAATAAGCAGTGAGACCCTGTCTCAAAAGAACAAACAAAACAAAACAGCCATACCTTAAACAAACAAAAAACTCAAGCCCAAACAAAACCTAAGCAAAACAAAACAAAAAAATGCAGTGATCTTTTTCAAGTAATGATATTTTATGTTGTTGGTTTGAAAGGCAGACCGTAATTATAAATGTCAAATAAATGCACTTCATAGTATTAAAATTGCATATAAAACATTGGCACCAACCCACTGTTTGTTTTCCTTCTTTTGAAAAGTAAATGACTACCCTAGCTCTGCACTCTGAGAAGCCTAGTAGGGCAGAACTCATGCACTTCACGGTGTCTGAGAGTACTGCTCCTTCAAAGGAGTCAGGAACCCCTGGCCTAGTTTGGGGTGGGAAATCCACAAAGTGACTTGTCTGATGATGTCAGTGTCCACAGCTCAGTTTAAGAGCACTGGAGATGTGTGTGCCTCCTGATTGGTGCAGTTACAATACACCCAGAAAGTATTTTTGCCAAAACTTAAGCAAAGAAAGTTTTGATCTAACTATGTGTTCAAAGGAGAACTGGGAAGATGAGCCAAGTGTGGAGTGTGGAAAACCCTGCAGAACACACATGCTTGCTTTTCCAGCAAAGAAACAACACTGCACACAAGCATGCTTTTCCAGCAAAGAATCAACACTGCAGCTATGTTTATGGCAGCCAAATTATGTGTATGTCCCCATACAAAGGT